TTAAAAGATGATACACTAGTGGGTTGATTTTAAATAAATTAAAATCAAGTTTGAACTGTTGTCTTCTTCATCTGTTTCCATTCGCAGCTCGTAAAAAAAGAGAATGAAACGATACCCACCGAATCTTCGGGTCTTTCAATTCTAGCTGATTTACGAACGAAGGAAACCAAATAAAATAGAAAGGTGGCTGGTCCGAACTCATAGTGCAGCAGGAGGTGGAGATGGTGGTTTAGAGACAATAGTAGAAGTGGGAGGTGGAGGAGTTGCGATGGAAGCTTCATTGCCTTAGTTTCTCCTATGCCGACAGCACACAACAACAAGAGAGCGAGCAGTAGTTGTCGGAGGAATGGAGTTTCAATAGTAGTTTCAGTGGTGGGTGGTGGTGGTTTCTGTCGACAGTGGGTGGCAGCCCCACTGTTTAGTTTTCTTGCTTATGATTGCTCACAACGAGGGAGGGAAGGGAAATAGTAATAGGTGAGCTTAAGGATATGGGGCTGGAATAGTCGAGAGTGAGAGAAGGAGAGGCCGATAGCCCAATTTTCCGGTGGGTTCTCATCCTCGGGTGTTAGCTCCTCTTGTCGAAGATGTGGCTTCAAAGGATGGCAGGGAGCGAACAAAGCAACAACAGTGGGTGTTTGTGGGTGGTGTATCACAACAGGAGAGGGAGCAGCCGGACGGGGGTTGTCACAACTGGTTGCTCGCTAGTTTCTTCCTCTTCTCTGGCGGGGTAAGAAACGAGAGGGAGAGAGAGAGAGAGACAGAGAGAGATACAATGTAATCTTGTAAGGGGAAATAAATAAATAAATGAAAATAATTATGTTGACTTAACAATGGTCAAAGAGGTGTGGTATTAGCTTCCTTAAAAACAAATAAACTGATTAAAGCATGGGGTGACATGCGCATGCATGCACCCAGACTCTTATTCCCCCTTTAGTTTATCCCATACCAAGGTCACCTCGATTTTCATGCTAATAAATCTGGACCACGTAAAAATATATCGAAAATATCTGGTGAATGGCTCGGTCTTGATGCTTCCAAAAACGCAAACGGAGATCAAATCCGATATACGGATCTCCGTGAAACGACGTTCGAAGTTTCACGTCACCGGGTTCCGATTCATCAGTTTTCTCGAATTCGATTTCGGTTCGGGATAAAAATACTGGAATAGTAAAATCAAATACTAGACCAAAGCCTGAGTTTAGAAACATGCCCAAATTAATTTACGAGTTGTGTAGCTACCTCAAACTGAGCCGTGTAGTGTCCGGTATCAGGTAAAAGCAGGTATATACTTGTTTAAAAGCTTAACACATGCATAACTTTCTCACACGATCTTCGTTTTTGGATGTTCTTTATATCCACGGAATCCTGAGAACATTTTCTATCCAATTTTATCATCCATGGCCCCCATGTAGGTCAAATGGAAAAATTTTGAATTTTAGGGCATCAGATCTCACTGATTTTCGAACCACTTCCTATTTGATGACGATGGTCAACTTTTCGAGCGTTTCAAGGTATCACGAAGGCACTTATGAGTAACATGATCCCATTTTCACTTAAAATCATCAAGGTACTAGGTTTTAGGTCCTACTACAGTTTGGTTCGTCGTAAATTGTATGTCTACAGTTTTAGACCTAAATTTCAGGATGTCACACATACACTAAACAACTACAGTAATAATGTCAGTTTTATATGGCATAAAATGAATTCCTCAAGACTATCTGGCATCATAAATCAGGTAATTCTATCATGCAATTCTTGAAGATTCCTAGCCAATAAACTAGCATGTAGTTCTAATATATCACCAATATACATATAACAAGTGTAGTTATCTTGGGGAATAAGTTTTCCTTGATCCCCGACTGATTGTACACACCGCATCCTCTCTTTCAGTTATTTTAGAAATTATATATAAAAAAATCTTTTTGCAGATCCATAGTTTGAAACTGGAATCCCATGAGAGATCATCCAAATCCCTCAAACTAGGGCTCTGATAACAACTTGTAATGTCCCCAAAACCATAGTAATTTTTTTCATTTTCAAAAGACATTCTCATAGAAATCATCAGGTATCCAAACCATTGTTTCAAAACATAACATAAAATCAGAATATCAAAATATCTCTCAAATAAAAATAATCAGGATGATGTGTACAATCACGCCTTCACTTTCTCGTGATCCTATGAAGTACCAGAAACATTTAAATCCACACTTGTAAGCCAAAGCTTTAGTGATTCCCCCCATAATACCCCACACAACAATACACATACAATGCATGCACACATGAGCATTCCGTCTTCCTGAACCGCCTTGCAAGGCCTACAGGATGTCTGGACCCCTCTACTGAGCCTATAGTCTATCTGACTGCCTTGTAAGGCTTATAATAGTTATACCGCTCCCTTGGGCCTACAGTACACCAAACATCTCCGGTATATGGGCCTATAACACAAAGGAGGATTGCCTCAACCCTACACAATATGTCGACATATGCAAACAAACAAACAAGAAAACAATAACCAACAATATAGGTAATCATAATAGATCTACCAATCTAATAGATCACTACAACATACCAACATCCTACACATAAGGATAGATACTACAATACAGAGTATAGTGAGAAAACTCACCTTGCAGTCTAGCAGATAAACAACACAACTCACACAATCCAAGAACTGGTACTAAGATTCACCTATACAATAATCATGGGCCAATTCTTAATCTACAGCCCAAATCCCTCAAATTGACCTAAAGTCAAGCTTGGTCAAGAAGTCAAAAGTCAACGGTCAAAGTCAACGATCAAAAGTCCATCAGTTGGTCACCATGTTGTGGCTAAGCATTTGCCATGTCGTGGTGATCTCGCGACAAAATACTCGCGAATACCACTTAACAACATGTTGTGGAGGCTAAATCTCCACGTTGTGTGAATTGTTCTAACCAGCTTAATTCATTAAGCTCTTAATCCTTCAATCTACATATCCATACTTTTTAAAAGGCTTTATTTCACCTAATGAGACATAAAATTCAGTTCTTTATAGACATGCATGTCTAGTCATGTCTTGAACTCCAACTAGGTCAAAAATGATGAAAATGAGGTCAAAACCTCATGCAAGGAATCAAAACTCAATCATTCTCAGATCTGGAACATATAACCTCAATGATCCATAAAGTTTCCAACTTTATGGGATCCCACCATACTAACTATCCCAAACATGAGGAACAAGGCATAGAAGTCTAGATCTAGAAACATGACACATAAAGATTAGTTCTTAAAGACTCACAATTGTCCAGAATGTGTGTTAGAATATGGAGGAAGAGCTTGCTTGTTGGATCTACGCTCAATGGGCACATTCTTCTCCTTTAAGGCACCAAAATCACCACAAAAAGCTTCAAAAACTCAATAATGGAGGCTAGGGCTCATTTGGGGTTGAAAGGGAGGTGATGGAAGTTGAGGGTGTGCAAACCCTAACCATCACATCCCTTAAACATGGCTTAAGGCCCAGAAAATTAGGGTTTTGCAATACAGGCGTCATCACGTTGTGGTCATGGCCTTGCCATGCTGTGGCATCCAAAATGGTGTGTGCTATTCAACGGGTGAGGCCACGTCGTGGTGCCCTTCTCACCACGTTGTAGCCACCCAAAAACTCAAAACCTAAAGTCTCGATGCCATGAACTCAAAGGAAGCATATACATGGAACCGGTGTTGCAATATAAGTGAGGGATGAGCCACATACGAGAACACCTTATTGATGATTGTTCTATGTAAGATGTCACATGAACAAGATCTGAAGAAAAAAAAATCACTCATAAGCATTGAATGTGTACAAAGCAAAATATGACTTATTTAAAAAAACGTTAAGGACTAAATGTGTACAAATTGAGAACTTAATCTAGAGTAGTCGATCATAATTTTTGAATGTGTACAAAAACAACAAGTTTAAGGACTTGTTTTGCATAAAGAAAAAAAACTAAAGATATACATACCGAAAACTATATTATTCTATTAAATCATTTTCCCTAAATAAAAAGTACAATTGAGTTCATAAAGTAATGTGAACACTTTTGTTATATAAAATGTTTTTTTTTAGTTTTTCATTCATATTAAAGCATGATGATAGAAGGTATTAGAAGAGATAATCATAAAATAGACAAAACTGCACAAATAGTTCCTATGGTTAGCACAAAATTAGGACTTTAGTCCAAAAATATTTGGACCAACACTAGAGGTCCAAACTTTTCATTTTGTCGCGATTTTGGTCCAATTTGCTTTGAACTTCTTTCAAATGATAGATTTGTCCTTATTATTTTCTTTTTCTATTTCTTTTATAATTTTATTGAATTTATTATTTAAAATTAAATCAAAAAGATATGCAACCCCATCCCACCCCACCTACATACCTCTAGAAACATCAACACCATGTCTCTCTCTCTCTCTCTCTCTCTCTCTCTCTTTTCTCTTTCTTTCTTTCTTTCTTTCTCTCTCTCCCTCTCTCTCTCTCTCTCTCTTCATTTCTGTTGGACCAGCACCTCCTACCGACCACCGCCATCGGACCACCACCACTTGACAGACCACCGTCATATGCTGGCTTATCCTAGTCACTGGAGAATCTTTTTCTCGCCAGACCACCCAAAACCACCTCCGGTAACGTAAATCTGAATATCCGATGATGTGGATCTAAACCACTTCCACCTACCGGTCTCTTCCTGAAACACCATCGCCGTCAGAAATCCCTAGATCTCTATCAGAACCCTATCAGATATTGAAACCCTTCTCACCGTTCTCTTCCTAGAATGTCATCACCTTTTGAAAACCCTACCAGATGTTGAAACCCTTCATAGATCTTTCGATCTATCTCGAGGTGACGATGATGCTAGGTGATGACGATGTTACTGGAGAAGATGGATGGTAGCGAAGAGTCGATATGAAAATCCTATCGATGTAGACCTAAGAAAGGGGGCGACACAGATCTGAAAAATGGGGCAACTCGAAGCTAGGGTGGCGAGCTACACTGCTGCCGGAGACGATCTACAAACGAACGCCAGTTTTTCGTCTTCTTCGTGACAGATCTGATATGGTTTCAAGTGGCGTTCTAATGGTGGTTCGGTGACTACTCTATTATTCCAATGGTCGTCGGAGAAGGAGCAAGGCAGAATCATTAGCGTCGTCGGAGGAGCAAGACGAAGCCGGCGGTGTTCCAAATCTCTGGCGGTGGTGACTCCAGTGGTGGTGACAACTCGAGGGGTGTTATAGAGATTGGTGGTCAGTGGTGGGTTTTCTGATGGTTGTGCCATGTCCGATGGTGGTAGGAGGCGGTGGTGGTGGAGGTGGCAGAGACCGGTAGCCGACGGTGGTGGTGGTGGCACATAATGGTGGCAACAAGAGTTTGTTCTTAAATGTGTGTGAAAGTGTTCTTGAGTGTTTATGAATGAGAGAGAGAGAGAGAAAGAGAAAGAGAAAGAAAGAGAGAGGTGGGTACTTTTTTATTTATGTTTAAAAAATTATAAAAATAAAATAGAAATGGCAAATTTTCTTTTAATCATAAAACTATTAATTAAAAAACCTAAAAAAAAAAGTAATGGCAAAATCGTCAATATAAAAAATTTCAAAACAAATTGAACCAAACTTGCAATAAAATGAAAAGTTTTGACCTCTACTACTAGTCCAAACTTTTTTTTGACCAAAGTGACAATTTTTAGCTAGCCATAGAGACCATTTGTGCAGTTTTGTCATAAAAATATTATAAAAATATGAAGTTATATTTTTAGATGAACTTTGAGACGTTTTTTGATATGACTATTTGAAATTAAATATTTTGGATTAACTTTATGACATAAAAAATTTTAGATTCCAAACTAAACGTTGGGACAGGGAAAAACATGTTTTGGATTTTCAAAAACATTCAAAATCTAAGGCATAAATCCACAGTTTAAATAAAAGGAAAATTAAATATACTCCTACAATTTTTTCGTAGGGTAAATTACACGGATGGTCCCTGTGGTTTAGGGTAATCTGCATCCTTGGTCCCTAACAATTTTTTTTTAACTTGGAGCATCCCTACTTTATATTTTTGTTGCAAGTTTGGTCCCTGTCCGATCTAAAAAGACTAATTTACCCTTACTGATTTTTTTAACCTTTTTAAAATATGAGTTAAATAAAAATATATTAATAAACAATAAAATCAGTTAAAATGAAACCCACACTTAACCCCCACCCCACCTACATCACCTCTCCTCTTCCACTATCGCCCACCACCAACATCATCAACACCTGCATCACTGGTCACCACCACACACATCTTCTTCCTCCTCCCTCCCATTGTAACACCCAAAAATTCAAGCCAATTTAAACTTTTAAAAACATTTCAAACCATTAAAAATCATTACAACTTTGTTTTCAAAATGTATAATATCAGAGTTTTCCCAGAAACATAGACAAAACATGAGGAGCTGTACGATCACGCATTCGCCTTGTCGCGATCCCCTGATGTACCTGAAACAATAAACTGAAACTGTAAGCCCGAGAGCTTAGTGAGTTCCCCCCAAAATACCGATACACTGCACATAACACATATATAAACAACAACATGTACTGGGTCCACAGCTTTACAGACTGGATTACCCCCTCGGCCCATAGTGTGAGTCTGGATTGCCTTACGGGCCCACAGCTCATATCTGGCTTGCCATCGAGCCCACAGTATGAGTCTCCTTTAGCCCGTAACTGGAATGCTCCTAGGGTTTGTTGGCTACTGCACGGAGCGGTACAACTTCAACCCATCCCACATAACATGTATCATACAACATCACCACTGAGCATGCAACAATCATATAACATAACAGGTAGTCCTACAGGTCTACCTAATTGGCATAACCACTAGCATGCAACACTAACTAATACTCAACATCTAACACTGCTAGAATAACATATCCAATGGGCCGGCATTGGTGCCTTAGACCCCTTAGTATAGTGAGGATAACTCACCTCGCAACTGTCGTCTGAAACTAGAAAGCTCAACTCCCGGATCACCAACACGAACTCCCCCACCTATAGCTACCATAAAACCCTTTTTCATAAGTTTCCAAATTACCAAAATACTCTCAGAAGTCAACTGGTCAACTCTTGGTCAAAGTCAAAGTCCACAGTCAAAGTCAACAGTCCATGTTGACTCGACTCGTCGAGTGTAGTTCACCGACTCGTCGAGTCCTTCGTGAACTCGAGAAGTTGTGAAATCCTTGGTTGGCTCGTCGAGTTCCCCTTTAACTCACCGAGTTCATACGTGTCCAAAGATTGGGAAAAACCCTAGCCGACTCGCCGAGTCATTCGACTGACTCGCCGAGCCCAAGGCAATCTTCATCGAACTCGCCGAGTTGTTCATCAACTCGATGAGTTCATGACCATCTTCATATGACTCGCCGAGTCGATCTTGCGACTCGCCGAGTCCTTTCAATCCAACATTCATACAGACGCTTTTTAAGCCATGCTAAGGCTCCATATTGTAGATCCAGCTTCCGAAGGCATGTTTATCACGTAAAGTTGCGAACTTTACGTCCATGCAAGGCTCTAATGACCCATAAAGCCAAATCTAAACTTGAAATGAGGTTTAAATCAAAAGGAAGGATTCATACTTGCTAAAGTTGTAAGCTTTATGGACCTAAAGACCAATGAGAGTTCAGATCTGAAGTTGCAACTTCAGATCTTAGCTCATACCCAAGAATAGCTTCATAACATGATGAAAGCCCTAAACTTCAACCAAAAGGAGATCTAGAAGGAAAGAAGGTCAAGGTAACGACTTGATACCTTCAAATGGTGCTATCTGAGGTAGATTTCAGGTCCACACAAGCTCCTTGCTTCTAGCTACTTGCTCTTCAAGCTCCCTTTTCTAAGAATCTTCTTCCCAAGGCTTGAAACACATAATGGAGCACACACACACGTATTAGGATTTTAGAGGGACAAGAAGCAGTAAAGGGGAGGCTGGGGGAGGCCAATGATCCTTTAAATAGGGTGCAATACCCCGAGATTTAGGGTTTCATCCTCCAGCTCCTACTCGTCGAGTCCCTTATTCGACTCGACGAGTAGGTCACTAAAACACGCGACCCAACCCACTGCTACTCGACGAGTAGGGCAACCAACTCGTCGAGTAAACCTTGAAAACAAGAAAATTCTTATATAAAATCGATACCTGAGAATCGGGGCGTTACAATTCTCCCCCACTTGAACTAGACTTCGTCCTCGAAGTCTACTGCGGTGAACAGTTCCGGATAATGCTCCCGCATCTCCGCCTCTGGCTCCCACGTCCACTCGGACCCTTTCCGATGCTCCCACTGTACCTTCACCAAAGGTATCTCCTTGTTCCTCAGAATCTTCATCTTTCTCTCCAGTATGGCCACATACCTCTCCACGTAATTCAGGCGCTCATCGACCTAAATATCATCCAGCGACACCACCGCGTCCTGCTCCATGATGCACTTTCGCAGCTGCGAAACGTGGAAAGTGATGTGGATCCGACTAAGCTCCTCCGACAGCTTTAGCCTGTAAGCCACCTTGCCAACCCTGGTAACGATCCTGAATGGCCCAATATATCGGGGACCCAATTTTCCCCTCTTCCTGAAGCGGATCACACCCTTCCAGGGCGAGACCTTCAGGAGTACCATGTCACCGACCTGAAACTCTAGCTCGGATCGACGCCAGTCGGCGTAACTCTTCTGCCGACTCTGAGCGGTCTGCAGCCGCTGCCTAATCTTCTGAATCTTCTCGGTAGTCTGCAAGACCACCTCCGTCCGACCCATCACCCTGTGACCAACCTCACCCCAACAAACCGGGGTGCGACATCTCCGCCCGTACAACAGCTCGAATGGTGGGGCGCCAATGCTGGAATGATAGATCTTGTTGTAGGCGAACTCTGCAAGCGGTATGTGGGAATCCCAGCTCCCACCGAAATCAATGACACACGCCCTCAACATATTCTCGAGGGTCTGAATGGTCCGCTCGCTCTGACCATCAGTCTGCGGATGGAATGATGTGCTGAAGTGCAACCGAGTGCCCAGCTCCTCGTGAAATCTCTGTCAGAAACGGGAGGTAAACCTGACATCCCGATCAGAGACAATGGAAACGGGAACTCCATGGCGAGACACGATCTCGCGAACGTACACATCGGCCAATTTCTCGGCCGATGAGCTCTCCCGTATGGCCAAGAAATGGGCACTCTTGGTCAATCGATCCACGATGACCCATATAGCATCAAACCCCTTCGCCGTCCTTGGCAACTTGGTAATAAAATCCATCGTGATCTGTTCCCATTTCCACATGGGGATCTCCAGGGGCTGCAGCTTGCCATGCGGCCTCTGATGCTCGGCCTTGAACATCCTATAACTCAAGCACCTCTCGACGTACCAAGTGATTTCTCGCTTCATGCACGGCCACCAATAGCTCAAACTCAAATCCCGGTACATCTTGGCGGCCCCCGGGTGAATAGAGAAATGAGACTTATGAGCCTCCTCCATAACCGTCTGCCTAACCCCACTAGACATCGGAACCCAAACCCGACCCCATCGGGTCAATAATCCCCGACTATCCTGCTCAAACCAGGTATTCTCACCCTTGATCCTCTCCACCTTCCAATTCTCCGGTCGCATGCCCTCAACCTGGGCATCTCTGATCAAACTCACAAGCGGAGAGTCCACTGCTATCCTCATACATACCGCTGGGGTGGAAGACCCAGCTGACTTGCGGCTCAAAGCATCCGCAACCACATTCGCTTTACCATGGTGTTAAAGGATCTCGCAATCGTAGTCCTTGACTACATCCAGCCACCTGCGCTGCCTCATGTTCAGGTTCGGCTGGTCCATGATATGTCTCAAGCTCTTGTGATCCGTGTAAATGGTACAGCGGACCCCATAAAGGTAATGTCTCCATATCTTGAGGGCGAACACCACCGCCCCCAGCTCCAACTCATGCGTAGGGTATCTCGTCTCATGCGGCTTCAACTACCACGACGCATAAGCTATCACTCGCCCTCTCTGTATGAGGACCGCCCCTAAACCTGTGATGGATGCATCACAGAACACCACAAAATCCTCAACTCCCTTCGGAAGTGTCAAGATTGGGGCCTCTCACAACCGCTGTCGGAGGGTCTCAAACGCCCTCTGCTGCTCAGGGCCCCACCGGAAATCCACCCCCTTCCTCGTCAGACGAGTGAGGGGTACCGCAATCTTTGAGAAGTCCTGTATAAATCTCCGGTAGTACCCTGCCAATCCCAAAAAGCTTCTGATGTCTGAGGGAGATTTCAGAACCTCCC